GTTAACAGAACATTACAGCGGACGCATCCGCTGCATGAGAGCCAAGATGCTATTAGCATTAGCCTGTAGCGTAGACTAGCATGACTGGCTCCATCCTGCTTTAATTGGGAAAACCAGTTACCCCGGCTAACGTTACCCGAGATAGCTTTGTCGCAGTTTGCCAAAAACATTGATTGGTCCTTTTTTCAATCAAGTAAAACATTGTTACATGCATATGTTGTTTGAAAATATGGCCTAATTAGCCTGTTACTCTCAATGTGATTTTATACTTAGCATCCAAACAGGGTTCATTAAGTCTTACCCATTTTATTACATTTATTTAAAAGCTATATCAACATGACCCAGTGAGCACCAATTTGTTGCTGAAAACTCTGTGATATTGGGTCTGAAAACCTCTTCATCCTCTTTTCAACCACCACACAGGATGGAAAAACTTTTACTTTGAACCTGGTCAAAAGGTCTTTTCGCCACTGACCATACCACTGCAAGGTGCTTATCAATGATATAACCACTAATTAATCACCAGTTAGTATCTCATTATTGAGCAATGGACGAAATGTCTAATTGCTTACCCCATAATGAAATGATCGTGTATAAGAGGGTTAGGACATACAACGCAGATCATTACATGGAAAAAGCACACTGTACATTCTCATCATTGTTTTCATGCATTAAATTTTTGTTCAGGCGAATATACAGTATACTGTACCGCATGCTAATTACAGCTCAGTCAAAATTAATGATTTAACAAGCAAATGAAGATAAAGTGTGATACCAAATGAGGCTTTCAAAAGCTCTATAACTTTGGAGTCGGTTTCTGTAAGGAGCAGAACAAAAAGACAGAAAGTAAATTTATACAAGTCTAAGCTGAAGACTCATAATCCCTCTTCGCTTCACACTTCTGTTATTTCTGTGTAATGTATATCCTTTGTTTTTTTTCCTCACCACTGACAGATAGCGTGGGGAGGTGGAAGAGGTATCCATCAAAGCAGGCCGTCTCTTCCACCTTTGAGCCGCTGTGGCCCCGCAGGCCCTCCTCCAGGCTCCCGGTGACCTTCTCCAGCGTGATTCTTCCAACATGGCTGCTGGGTATAGACAGCACTATCCAGAAGTGAGCTACAACACTTCCCTCCCTGCAGAAACAAAGAAGCACAGAAACATCCACACAGCACTTGTGACCTCTGCTGGGTATGTACTGAAGAACGCTGTGCTGCACCTGTGTGAGCGACGTCATTGTGGACGTGAAGCACAGTCGGGTCTGTAAGTGTCTGGTGACTGGACAAACCAATAGAATCATAATTATAAGGATCATTTTTAATACTTGCATGTAAATCCTTTGCATTTAGTGACTGCCTAAAGTTTGGAACCCATGGACATGCTTCGTCAAGCCTTTACTTGTCTGCCTTCAGTTTTGTATTTAGGTAAATGAAACGAAGCTCAGTTGGGCGGAGGTCAGACGATTGACTCAGCCATTTGTGAACCTTCCATTTAATTTGCTGTCAGCAGCTCTCAGGTTGCTTTGTCATCGGTTTCGCGTCATTTTACTGAATCTGAGCAGAAAGTGTCGCTCTCAGCACCAAAGGATTCATCCTGCTCCTCCTGTCAGCAGTCACGCATTCAATAAACGCCAATGAAGCAGTTTCATTTGCAGTCATACATGCCCGTGCCAGAACACATCCTACCTAGACCATACCAGATGATGTGGTGTGCTTTGGGTCGGGACTCCTTCCTTTCCTTCTCCAAATTCTTCAACTTTCTGGAACAAGTTCATCTGAGTTTCATGTGTCAAAAAATCTTGTTCCAGAACTGGGAGGACTTTTGTTTTTGTTCTTGAGTGTTACCAGTGTTCTCATCTTGACATAACCCTCTGTACTACATCCATAAAGTGTCTCTTGATTGCAAAATGGACGATGATACGCCTTCCTCCTCATGGCCTGTTCGTAAGAGGGGTTCTTCTTCTCAAAGAAAAAGAATTCTTCGATCACCCACTATAGTTGCGTTCTGGGTCTTCCAGGCTTTTGGTGTTGCTGAGCTAATTAGCACATTTCTTCTTTTTAGGAACGTACCAAACTGTTGATTTGACCAACACCAAAGTTTCCACGATCTCTCTGATAGGTCTGTTTTTTCACCTAAAGATGTCCTCCTTCACTTGCATCGATACGTCTTTGGACCGCACATGGCGAGTTCCCATGAACAGCTACCAAAAGTAAACCTTTTATCTCCTTAATATGTCACGAATAATGAGGAATCAGGCCACAACAAATCAGTATAATTCAAGACCCAAAGCTGCATTTTGAGAGCTGGCACTTTAAATGAGAAATGAAGAATAGGAATGACAGTAACGTCCAGATCTGACACATGCTCTACTTTATACCACAACACAGTGGATGATTACCCCGCTTATCAATCAGCACAGCGTGATCGGTTTGAAGAATATGAACAAACATCAGCATGTGGTATTAAACAAGTGCTTTTTTGTGATTTATCAAGTTAAAAGCGTCTACTATAGGCCGTGATGCTAGCAGGGCTGAGTATTCGCTGTATACAAGTTCCCCTTTTGGTGAATACTGCTGTACTGTGCGTAAAGAAAAAGTGAGATCCACATACCCAAAGGCGAAGACGGTGGTGTAGTTAAAGTATCGAGAAAGTCTCGACCCTTTCATTATCTTCTCTACCTGAAAAACAAAAACACATCTAAATACTGAGCTGCATGTTGGATGTTCATATTACTGGGAGGACCTAATCCTGTACATCAGTTACGTCTTCAATACAAGTGTAGAATGTGGTCAGATCTTTTATTTTGACCAATTCAGTTGTGATATAATCTACAGTCTGTTCTTGACTACTTCAGTCCTCTTTTATGGCGTCTTTATGTTACTCTAATTATTTTAAAACATTTTTGTTGTACATTTATTGTATACATGACCATACAAATTAGATTTTTCTCTGGTCATTGATCAGGATTAATTAATCTACCTACTTGGTCTCACTGAGTGCTTGTTCATTCTGTTTAGTATCTTAGCTGCATTGTGAAAATGACAGAAAAACAGACCACCATGAGCTCTGGATCCCTTTGGCTGTGAGTGATTTCGGTGTGCATCGGTATCAGAGGAATTACCCCTCCCTGCTCACCATGTTCTGCACTCCCTTGGCTTCTTTCTTGAATGCAGGGCTGTTGTGGGAGGACAGATGTGCAGAGAAGTTCCTGTTGAGGATGGTTAGGTAGGCCGTGTACTGCTGCTCCACTCGAGCCTCTAATACCCAAACCCTGTACTCTGTGTTACAGAAGAAAGTATGAAGATCATCACACCATAAATAAACAAGAGAACTAAGATACTACAGAAAGTCTGACTGTTCTATGAGGCTTTATGTAGACACTGCAGTGGATCAGCGTGTTAGTATAGTCACTTGAACAATGCTGCCGTTTTGCTTGAATTTTGTTCACAATGTTAGTTTAGGGGGCTGCACGGTGGCTCGGTGGTTCGCACCGTCACCTCGCAGCTAGAAGATTTGCGTTCTGGTTAGGACGCCCATGAGATTTCTGTGTGGAGTTTGCATGTTCTCCCCGTGCAGTGTGACCGCAGTGAGGATTAAGTGGTGTAAAGATAATGGATGGATGGATCGATGCTAGTTTTAGCATGTCAGCACATTTGCTCCATTAGCAGGAATAACAAAGTACAGCTAAGGTTGACTGGAATATCTCTAGATTTAGAGGTGCAGTCGGGACTTGATAATCCGACCCTTAACAATCTGAAAACTTTGCTATCTGACAGGTTTTTAGGAAAAACGAATGGAACCCATAAAAAAAACAGCCTTAACATACCGACAGCCTTGGATTCTGACTCCGACATGACATTTAATGTCACCAATCAGGATAACGGCGTATTATCTGACTGAACAATCCCACAGATTGGCTACGTTCAGACTTCTACGTTCAGATTTTTTTGTGAAATCTGATTTCTCTGCGAGTTTGTTCACATTTCCAGTTAAATACGACTTGCATGTGATCTGCTGTGTGAACTTCATACGACCCAAAATTGTCCCGCATGCACAGAAGAGGAACCAATGTCACATACCGCGAGCATGCTCAGTGTTTGCGGAAGTAAAGACGGATGGTGGCACCGCTGCCAACGATGGTGGAAACAGAGCTGTGACCGCAATCCTAAAGTTTCATCAGCAGCCAAGTACTGCCTGTGCATTCTGGCCACTTCCACCCCATCGGAGCGCTCCCCCAGGGTGGAAGTGTCCACCAACCGCACAGAATATTTGGATATCCATCATTAATTGGGCCTGAATACCCAGAAACCACAAAGTGCTATTGGGACCAGCCCTACTAGTTATTATAACAACTATAAATATTAACAACAAATGAGCCTTCCAGCATCAAGCCCTCCTTGTATCTCGACCTCCGTCTTGACAATCCGACAGCCTTGCTATCCGACACAAAAGAAGGTTTTACATTTAGTGTCGGATTATCGAGTCACGACTGTTTTTAGTCACAAAACAAGACACTGGATGACTAAAACTTTTGATGCGATGATGGCGTTATGTGAAAGTTATTACAGTTCATCCTCAGGGATCGTTAATACCTGAGCCATTTTTAAAATGAATCTAACAAAGCTGTTGTAAATCCATTTATAGTTGAGATCTCTTCTTTAAAACCACTGTTGTGCACCTTAGATCACCAGAGCTATCAAGATACATCATCTGAGATCTTTGAATATCTGTACAAATTTTCAGAGCTGTTTTACTCGATAAAATCAAACCACAAGCATGGCTAAAAAAAAAAAGTGTGAATCAATGAAAGTAAGAGAGAAAGAAGTGCTCACCCAGAAAATACCAGGCCAGCACGGCTCCTGCAACTATAAAGATGAGGATGAATATGATGAGGAAGGCAAGGAGACACTTGTAGGACCGAGTCTTCCTGGCTGCTGGAGCCACAGCTTGAGTGGCAGCTGCTATCTGCAGAGAACAAACAAGAACTGCCCGTGACCTAAAATGTGGGCCTTCAGTCGATATGCCATAGTACCTGAAAGTGGGTTTAATTGTGTCTTTTCATGACAGTGTCTGAGTTAGTCAAGGCACACAGGGCTCTGAGATGGTCTCCCAGCAGATCCTTTAGCCATGATGCTGCTCTGGCTTTCTCTCCCCCCCGGGTGAAATCTATCCTCACATGCCAACGCTGTGATGTAACAGCTAATATCACTGTCAAAAAAGATCTTAAAATGACATCTCTACTTTTCCTTGACTAACAATGGGGGGACATTCTTATAGTTAAATTCTCCCGGCTTTTTTCCCCCCTTGTCACGTCCCATACTATCAGAGATTACCTGAGAATTACTCCTGAAAAGCTGCTGCTGTGATGAATCAGGCAACACTTACATTTTTAAAAACCTCTCCATGTGTGTCGTGTTGTACTCGTGGTGGTTAATGTTGAGACGAAGAGCAGGCTGCAGAATTCTAAACTTGTCGTCTTGATGCTGATTCAGGTGACATTACTCGACGCAATCTGTATTTCTTTCCACAAAGTCCCCAGTTCCCCGTAAGGCCTGTTCTTTATATGATACAACACTATAAAAGTGAAGTGAAACTGAGCAACACATGACAGGACGGGGATTTAAGTGCAAGAAACTGAAACCAAGGCCTTTATGAATGCAGCTTCTGATGGAGAGTCACAATCATCGTCACCTCAACAGCATTCAAAACCAAAACAAGAGACTTCATTTTGACAATGGCCTGTATATACAGTTGAAACCAGAAGTTTACATACACTGTATAAAAAGACATATAATTTTTTCTCATTGTCTGACATTAAATCAGACTAAACATTTAATTGGAGGCACACCTGTGGATGTATTTTAAGGCACACCTCAAACACACTGCTTCCTTTTGTGACAACATGGAACATCTAAAGAAATCAGCCAAGATATCAGGAAGAGAACTGTGGACCTCCACCAGTCTGGTTCATCCTTGGGCACAATTTCCAGATGCCTGAAGGTTCCACATTGATCTGTTCAACTATTATACACAATTATAACCACCATGGGAATGTCCAGCCATCATAGCGCTCAGGAAGGAGACGGGTTCTGTGTCCCAGAGATGAAGTGTTTTAGTTCAAATGTCCGTATTAACCTCAGAACAAAAGCTAAAGACCTTGTGAAGATGCTGCTGAAGCTGGTCAGAGAGTCATTATCCACAGTGAAACCAGTCCTGTACCGACATGGACTGGAAGGATACTCAGAGAGGAAGAAGACATCACTCCAAAACAAAAACATAAAAAGCCAGATTACAGTTTGCAAATGCACACAGAGACANCACAATTATAACCACCATGGGAATGTCCAGCCATCATAGCGCTCAGGAAGGAGACGGGTTCTGTGTCCCTGAGATGAAGTGTTTTGGTGAGAAATGTGCGAATCAACCCCAGAACAAAAGCTAAAGACCTTGTGAAGATGCTGCTGAAGCCGGTCAGAGAGTCATTATCCACAGTGAAACTAGTCCTGTACCGACATGGACTGAAAGGATACTCAGAGAGGAAGAAGACATCACTCCAAAACAAAAACATAAAAAGCCAGATTACAGTTTGCAAATGCACACAGAGACAAAGCCCTTCATGTTTAGAGACATGTCCTGTGGTCTGATGAAACTAAACCTGAACTGTTTGGCCTTAATGACCATCGTTACATTTGGAGGAAAAAGGAGGAAGCTTGAAGTCTGAGAACACCATCCCAACTGTGAAGCACGGGGGTGGCAGCATCATGTTGTGGGGGTGTTCTGCTGCAGGAGGGACTGGTGCACTTCACAGAATAGATGGCCTCATGAGGAAAGAAGATTATGTGGAAATATTGAAGCAACATCTCCAGACATCAGCCAGGAAGTTAAAGCTTGACTGTAAATGGGTCTTCAGATGGACAATGACCCTCAGCATACCGCCACATTAGTTACAGAGAGGCTTCAGGACAACAAAGTCAATGTTTTGGAGTGGACATCACAAAGCTCTGATCTACAAACATTTGTGGGCAGAGCTGAAAAGGTGTGTGGAGCAAAGTGGTCAGCAAACCTGATTCCGTTAAACAAGTTCTGTCGGGAGGAAGCTTGTGGAAGAAACCCAAAACGTTTGACCCAAGTCATACAGTTTAAAGGCAACGCTACCAAATACTGAGGAAACGTATGTAAACTTCTGACTTTGAAGAAAGTGATAAAAAAAAAATCTCTAAAAAGTGCTCTCTCTCATTATTCTGACGTTTAGCAGACAGAAATAATTTTGGTAAAGTTTGGAAAAGTTTAGTTGATTTAATGTCATACAGTGAGAAAAAAAAATAAGTTTATATGTCTTCTCACACAGTGTATGTAAACGTCTGCTTTCAATCATTCTGTTAAACACTGGTTTGTTCTGACAGCTTCACAGGCCAGAAATGCAATATTCTCAGTATAATGAGCATTAAATATCAGACGGCACATGTAGTAATGTCACTGTTTTAGTTTTACTTACCTCATTGTTCAGAGAGGC